ACGGATGTGGATGCGGAAGGTGTGGCGAAGCTGTTCTTCGAACAAGTGGTTCGAGTGCGGGGAAGGCCGGAAGAGATTATCTCAGATCGAGATAAGATCTTCACCAGTAGGTTCTGGAGGACACTCCTAGAACAGTATCGCACCAAGTTGAAATTCAGCACGGCCTATCACCCACAGACAGGTAATGGGTATTGAGTCAAGATTGATGGCACTAACACTTCTTGACAGACGGACAAACGGAAAGGGTGAATAGACAGCTGGAGGATTATTTGCGATGCTATGTCTCGGGAGACCAGACCGACTGGGTAAGTCATTTGGGACTTGCGGAAATGTGTTATAACAACTCACCACATTCGAGCATCGGGGTGAGTCCATGGGAAGTCATCAATGGGCGAGCTATTGAAGGTCCTGTGGAACTCGGCGTGGCCGAGTATCATGGAGAGTTACCCGCAGTGGAGGCATTCACAGCGGAAAGACTCAACATTTGGAATCTAGTGAGGGATTCCTTGGAACGGGCTCAACAAAGGCAAACTAAGTACGCGAACCAAAAGCGTCGAGATGTGGAGTTCCAAGCTGGGGAGAAGGTGTGGCTGAACACCAAGAACCTCAGGCTACCAAGTGGGATCAGCCGGAAGTTGACCCAAAGGTAAAAATGCATGTATTCCTGTAAATGAATTGATCTTGAGTTCCTTAAGCAGGTTCGCGGGGCCTTACGAGATTGAGGCTCGAATCGGTAAAGTGGCTTACCGTCTCCGACTTCCTCGAGAGATGGGGAAGATGCACCCCGTGTTCCACGTGAACTTACTCAAGCCGTATTTTGAGGATCCGCTTCGCAAGGACCAAGTAAGACCTTTACCTGAGGTTATCCAAGGGGAGGAGGAATACGAAGTCGAGGCCATCCTCAATGCGCGCAAGAGCAAGCGACAAGGACGCGAGGTGAGAGAGTTCCATGTGAAGTGGAAAGGATTTCCACACTGCGAAGCAACATGGGAACCGGAGGAGAACCTAGCGAACGTGCGAGATCTAGTGGAGGAATTTCTGCATGGCAGAACTCTATGTACTTATGCAAAGTTCAATTAAAAGTATCAATTTGAGAAGTTGAGCAATGGCATATGTTGGGACCCGAAGGCGCGCCGAAGGTGAGCTAATTAGCATGGGTTAGCTAGGTCAACCAGGCGTAGGGAGCTACGCCCGACTCCCTGCGGGGATGTCGAATCCGTAGACGTATTCTACGGAGGTTGGGTTTGAGTCCCAACCCCCTAGTAAAGCAAGGCTGGGTTCAAGTCCCGACCCCATACTAGGGCGTGGTGAGGGGTGGAGTATAGGGACACCTATATTCCGTTGTCATGAGCTCTTGGCCGGGGAGGCTAACTTAGGCACACCGCTAAGTGGGGGGATGCCCCCGGAGACATGGTCAACAAGTCGTAGGATAAAAAAGAGACGTTCGATGTGGGCATCGAACTTCTTCTATGGGTGGTGGAGTTGTAAGGAACCAACTCGCCGAGGTGTCGTAGGCTAAGGGAACCCCGAAAGCATGACCAAAATGACAAAGAGTTCATCGGATGGGACCAAGTCAAAGATCGAGTCCAAGACCGACTCTAGGACCGAGTTCGAGATAGAGTCCGGAATCGAGTCCAAGACCGACTCGGGGACCGAGTTCGAGTCCGAGTTCGAGACGGAGTCCGAGATCCGAAATCGGGTCTGAGACCGAGTCCGAAGTCGAGTCCGAGGTCGGGCCCGAGATCGGGTCCGAGATCGAGTCCGCGATCGAGTCCGAGACCGAATCCGAAGTCGGATCCGAAATCGGATCCGAGATCGAGCCAGAGACTAAGTCCAAATACTAATACGGGTCAAGGGGTGAAAGCCCAAAGCGTGCGTCCCCCAGGGGGGGGGGCTGCAGGGGGTTCCAAAAGTATAGTAGGGATAGTGAGGTCCAGGAACCAGTTTAGAAGGGACTCTCCAGTGGGGCTCCCAAACTGACTTGAGGTTGGGACTGGGACCGAGGGGCCTTGGGTGGGAGTGAGCATGGACTTGGTTGGTGCCGGAGGGGCCATCCAAGGAAGTGCTCAAGAGCAGCTCCCACTCCCGAAAGGGAAACCGATTGCGGTGCTCCCGGCTCATGTGGAGTGGTGCCCCACTTGAGTACCATGCGGCTCATTGGTCCTCGCCCTTCCTAGGGGCTTGGGCCTTCCTTCGGGATGGAAGTGGGGGGCGAGAGGTACCCATGCCGGGCCGTTAGGCCACGGTGTTTCGCCCCGGCGTCCCGAAGCAAGTGTTGCACTCAAGACTTGGGATTTAGAGGGTCCCATGATCAAGTCTTGTGGTACCAAGGGATGTTAGGAACCTGGAAGCTTGGTGTGCTTGGCTGCTTGTGCTTGCGGGGAGTGTAGCCGAACCTTAAGTCCAGTCTAACCCGGGGAGGGGGATTGGGAGTGATTTGGGAATCCGTGGAAGGATGGCTAACGCTCCATTGCTCGTGCAGTGAGTAGCTGAAACCAAGTAGGAGCTGGTACCATAGGCGAGAACCTTGGCAAGGGAACTTAGCAAAAGCCAAGGCAATGTTGGACGGATAGACGAGGTAAGCTGGCAAATTGGAAAGGAAAAATTTGTGGCTTACATGGAGTCCGAGACCGAGACCGAGACCGAGACCGAGACCGAGTCCGAGTCCGAGTCCGAAATCGGGACCGAGACCGAATCCGAGTCCAAATATTAATACAGGCAGTTGGGTGAAAACCCAAAGCAATCCCCCCGGGGGGGGGGGGGGGGGGGGTGGCAGGGGTTTCCAAAAAGCCTAATAAGGAAAATGTGGGGGTTTGGAGCCTAGTGGAGCCAGTTTGGCCAGGAAAGGCCAGTTTGGCCTAAAAAGGCCATGCCCAGTGTTGGGTGATGAATTGACTACTAAGAAGTCCAAGACTAGAGTGAATACGGACCGACAAACGGGGTAGCTTGGCGAAGTGTTCAAAAGCTGGCTCTAGTTCCCCCGGAAGATTGACTGGCTGATGCTCTCAGTCCAAGTGTGGGTGGCACTACCTACTTGGATACCTCGCGTGGCTCAACGGAACCTTGCTCTAAGCCCATGGCTAGAGCACCCAAAGGCGGAAGGCGGGGAGAGTACCCATGAGGCCCGCGTAGGGCCACGGTGTTCCGAAATGTTGTCCCAAAGGCCTAGATTGTGGAAAGGAAGAGGAGTAGCCCTCTGGTGTGGTGACCAAGGATACAGTCAGGTGGTGAGGAAGTCCCAAAGGACCGTGGGACTTAGTGGTCGGGCCTGTGGGCCTCAATCCAGTGGTAGTGTTGGCGAACATGGCTATGGGTAGAAAGGGACTTGGTGGGGAATGGAAAAAGGATATTGGGGAAGGCTCTTCCCCATGTCTGTGGGCATCCTATGGATGCTAAGGAGTGGATCTAGGATGATCACTCATGGATGGATGGCCCAGTCTTTGATAGACGGGACCGTGATGTAGGTGGTGTCAAACCACCAGGTGACCAAGGTGAATGGGCATAGCCTTAGCATAACGGGCTGATGTGTCGGTGGTACCTTGAGGTGTTGGTTGTGGGATCAGACACGTGGAGCACTTAAACCAAGTGCAATGGTTGAGTGGCATGGATGCCATTCTTGGGGCTAGCAAGTCCCTAAGTCCAAAATGGGACTTACGGAGGTTGTGAGTGAGACTCCTCCAAGTGGTCGGAGGTGTGGTTAAGTGACTAAACTAAAATGGAAAATTTAGTCGCTTACAGTCTTCTCCTCTAACTCTAGAGCAGCAATTAGTGCAATTGCTTGATGCTATGCGATTGCAATTGAACAATCAAACTCAATTGATGGCGGCATTCACGGCATGTGATATAGCTCCTCCTGCTCTTGGTGCCAATCCTCGCGTTTGGTTAGAGTTCTTTCATGGGAATCCTAGGAATGATGTGTACTATTGGTTCGATCACTTCACAGTGATTGCCACCTATCATTCTTGGGATGATGCTTGACGTTTACGTGAGTTTCCCACATGGCACTGCAATGGTACAATGGTTTGAGTGTAGCCACTCATGGGGACTAGAGTGTTCTCTTCAAATGCATATTTGGACATGTTAACGATTGTGATGATACCTTCCAACAATTGTATCATCTTTGTTAAGAGCCATCTAAGTCGCTGATACAAGTTTCCAAAACCTTTTATTTTGTGTAGAGCTAAATTTGTCAAAACGGATCAAGTTAGGAATGTTATGGCCAACACTTTGTCAAGATTTTGTCGGACTTGTGTATGCACTTGCTCCAACCACCCGTGACAATGCTTTTCGTTTGGCACAATGTTATAAGACATCACTTCTTCAACTTTTTGCTACACGTCCTTCCACTCCACTTCTTGTGGGCGATGGTCCTATTCTAATGGAAGTTGATGCTGCTGCTACTCAAGTCCAAGGACAAGGGCGAGGTTGTGGTCATGGCCGAGCATAGCGCAAATCTTCATTTCTGGCACACTCCCTCACCAGCCCTGCCTATGGTGTTGCTCACGCACTGCGCAGAAGTGAGTTGATCCTGAAAGGAGCCTGGATTGTATGCCCGACTACCATTCTACTTGCCCTTGTTATCCTTGTGAGCACCTCCTCTAGGAGCTTACAAACGCACAGACTCTCACGGGAATGCCCACACAACCACATCTGAGCAGAGCAGCAATGGAGCCGTGCATGGCATAACACCTATCGCCACACCCTCTTTCCTTCCCGGCCACACATGCATCTTACCCATTGGCCGCCACAACATTAAGTTGATATTCCCACTAACCATGGCCACCAGCCCTGGCCCGGGCCTGGGGTGGCCTCCCCTTCCCAAGAACCATGGCTTCCAAAGCTGCCCCAAGCCTAGGATCGGACGGCTGGATCCTATTGGGCCCTTCGTTCTTATTATTATAGATAAATAGATAGATATTTACACTTGTGATGTTGTGTGTGGACACGCACATCCAGCTGACGCACCACATTGTAATCTTACACGTTTAAAACACGAGCGGCCAGCTGGAAATACAGAGCTGCATGAGTAAATGTGCGCCTGGATCAAGTTTCGCATTACTACGATCTATAGCAAGAAGAGTGTAGTATGTCGGCCTCTGGAAATACAGAAACCTCAACAATGAGAGGGATCCCAGTTGGTGTTCTTGTAGAAGGCCATACTCCCGAGCAGCGTTCTCCTCATCCGTTTCGAATTCCTCATGTCTTCGTTCCTTTCGACAGCAGCTGCGCTGCATTGTCAATGCTGCTCAAAGGCATTCAGAGCCAAAAGGCAGACATTGAGCATGCACTGCACCAGAGTGGAGCTGTCCTTCTTCGTGGATTCGAAGTACTCACTGCCTCAGATTTCAACGATGTACTTGAAGCCTTCGGGTACGATAATTTCGTCTACAATGGTCGTGGGGGACATAAGAAAGCCATCATTGGAAGGGTTGTCACGGCTAGCGAATTGCCTGTGCATTTTCCTATAGGTTTCCACAACGAGATGGCATACGTGAGTGTTGCTTTCCACCTTGGCAATTATATATACTCATGCTTCGTTTTTCCTGCTTGTAGCAACTCAAGACACCAAGCAAGGTGATGTTTTATTGCGACATTGAGCCTCCTGACGGTGCCGGAGGCGCCTCACCCATCGTCCAGGGCCACATTGTATACCAAAGGCTCAAGAAAGAGATGCCAGAATTTCTGAAGATGGTTGAGGATAAGGGGCTTACTTACATCAACACTCTGTCCAACGATCCATCAGCAAAGGATAGCTGGCAAGAAGTGTTGCAAGCATCTACCAAAGAGGAAGCGGAGAAGAAGTAAGTCTTCCTGATTCGTAATTTGCTTCGATAACTTCACGGTCTCATTCGCAATCAGGGCTAGAGAAGGGAACAATCGCATTGAGTGGAATCAAAACGGCACAGCATCTCTTTTCATGGGACCAAGAATTGGAACAAAATTTTGCAAGTCAAACGGAAGAACGGTTTGGTTCAACAGCATTGGTGCAACTTACGAGCTCATGCTCATCTCCCCACCTGGAGAACATGGAATAAGCTTTGGCGATGGCACTCCTTTGAATGAAAAGTTTCTCGCAGCTTGCAACAGGATAATGGAAGAGGAAAAAGTTGCATTCAAATGGCGCAAAGGAGATGTGCTCATCATCGACAACGATGCTGTTTTACATGCAAGGGAACCATCGAAACCACCACGAAAAATTCTTTCAGCATTAGCTGCCAACTAAAATAAGAGTAGTTTCGAGTGTTGACGTCGTTGAAGTCTTACTCCTTTCGAACTCTATTCCTATTCACGCCGTTCGAGTGACTGCCCCACGGCCCATCCCCACTATGAACGACCCGGTCCGGGTATAGTCTATCTATCTGTGTTTATAGTTTTGTGGTGACCATCGAGAAGCATAAGACTTTATGAATGCAATGCAATTGAGAGTTTTCACTCCACGGCCCAGGCTCCAGTCCATGCTCCACAGTCCTCGCTTATGCAACGTGGCTTTTTCTCATGAAAAGGGCGAACGACAGTCCTGATTGTCAGCTCCATGGAATAGTAGGTGTTGCCAATGGCAATCCGCAAGGACACGATTGTGGCAGCATCCATCTCAGGTTTGTTGGACTTGTTTTTTGTATAAAAAGATTTCTGGTTTCATGTCTTTGTTTCCCCACCCACTTCCTACATAACTTTGTGTTTTAAGAGCCTTTCTAGCTTGTCGTTTAGTACACCTTACAGGTACAAAGGTGTTTTCAAGTATCTTAAACCAGACTCGGGCCTCAATATCTTGATTGTTCCCATGGGTAAAGATTTCTCCCATTTTCGTTCAAGTATCTAGCCAAATTCCATATCTGGATTATCGAGTTTGGTAGCATTAATTTGCTCCTCTGCACTTTCTACTGTGGCAGCACTTGATGCTTCGTTTACCAAGGTTACCACAATATTTTTTAACGTGTTTGTTTGCTTGCGCTCAGGTTCAGGCCTTTCCAGCTCGTCTGCTGGTCAAGTCTACTTTAAACTGGGCCAGGTTTTACGACTGCAACTGATCTGGAACGGTAAGCTTGTTTATTGTGAACTGAACGTCATGCTCAAGTATCTCGATTACAGGTGAAGATAGGCGATCAGAATATCGAAGATGCTAGCCTCGGTCTTTTATTTGGTAGTACCGCAAAAAAAAGGTGAACTGTTCTCATACTAATCACTTATAGATTTCGCATCGTTACCTCAGATTGTTGCTGGCAAGAGCATTCCTCAAATCCGTCCGTGCCAATCTTGTAAGGCTGTTGTTTTGTTCCCTTGAGCGTTTCACAACGCGTTTCTCATTATCAGGTTGTGATGAAGCAACGAGATCTTTAGACTCTAAATTCTCTTATTCAGAAGAGTTTGGAGGCGCGGGACGAAAGCGATCTGGAGCAGATCAATAGTAGCTGTGCAAGGTTGGTAGCCATGAATTTTTTGAGCGGGAGATGGAGCTGTTCGCCTAACTAAGATGCTCTTTGAATATCCTTCTTTGACTAGTAGTCATAAGATGCTCTTTGAATATGCTTCTTTTGACTAGGATTGACTACGAACGGAGCCATCTCCTCGATCTTCTCCAGTCATGCCGCTCCATCCCGGCGGCCCACGAAATTCGCAGCCAGATCCAATCCACGCTCGGGGCTGCCGATGTCTTCGTGCAAAACAAGCTGATCGAGCTCTATGGCCGCGTTGGAAGCCCCCTCGACGCGCAGGAGGTGTTCGATGCCATCGCCCATAATAACTCCCTCTCGTGGGTCATGCTGCTCAACGCTTACTGTCGCAACAGGCAGCTAGATCGAGCAAACCAGGTTTTTCGCGCGATGCCTCATAGAGATTTAATCTCGTGGACTTGTCTCCTTACTGCACTTTCCCAAAACGGGCATTTGATTAAAGCCCAACAAGTGTTTGATCAAATGCCTATAAGGGATTTGGTCTGCTGGAACTCAATGCTCGTTGCGTACGGAAGAAGCGGAAGAATAGAAGAGGCCGTAAAGGTTTTCGAGGATATCCCCGAGAAAGATCTTATTACGTGGACTTCTGTACTTACTGCTTATGCCCATTTTGGGCAGTTGGAAAAGTCACAGGATATCTTTGAGCGAATGCCGCAGAGAAATCTGTTCTCGTGGAATGCTATGTTAGCGCTCTATGGTGTTAAAGGTTTAATGGAGAAAGCAAATATATTGTTCCAGGTAATGCCCGAGTGGAATTCTGTCTCTTGGACGACGATGCTAGACGAATATTCGCAAAACGGGTATCTTGGAAGATCTAAACTCGTGTTTGATTCCATGCCAGAGCGGAATTTGATCTCATGGGGCTGCATGCTAGCTGCATATGCACATAACGGGCACTTAATGGACGCCAAGAGAGTATTTGACACCATGCCAGAGCACAACCTTGTCTGTTTTAATGCCATACTAACAGCATTTGCCCAAAATGGCCATCTTGCAAAAGCTAAGCATGTCTTTGATACAATGCCGGAGACAAATGTGGTAACGTGGAATGCGATGCTGACGGCATATTTGGACAATGGTCTAGTAGAACAAGCAAAAGTTATGTTTGATTTTATGCTGTATAGGAATCTCGTATCATGGACATGCATGCTGGCCATGCACTCTCAGTACGGGCAGGTAATGGAGGTTAGACGGACATTTGACATGCTCCCTGAGAGAACCATCAACGTGACTGATGCTTTGCATTTCCTGGGTGGAAATTTTGCCATCAACAACGTTTTGTTGGTGCTGTTGCAATGGAAGGTCTAAATATCGAGATGTATCCGGGAAATGAGGAGTTGCACAAGTAATGGAGGGACCTTGCGCAAATAAGTCAATGACCCTTCCATATTTCTTTCGGGAGTATCATCAAGGGGTTTACTCGGCACTAATTCATCCAGTGTCTACTTTCCAAGCTTATTTTTACAACAAGAGGTCTCCTATTATTCTCTCCATGTTGGTTGATACAGATTCGAGTTTATCTTCTATTGCTTGGCCTGTTGCCACACGTTGCTGTTTATACTTGCGTTGTGCAGTGGAGTCAGTTTTCATTCTTTATGGCAACAGTTATACACATGCATGTGCATAGGATGAGGTGGACTTAGTTGTGCATGTGGGTGATTTCGAGCTTGGGTTGTAGTCATTGTGGGTAGTGCTAAGTTAGGCTTTTGACCTCATCCTCTTTCCCTTGTCTCATACTTCCTTATATTTCATCCATTCCTCTCACTTCCGTACTTCTTCGTCCCTCTACTTTTACCTCTACTTCCATTACTTTTATTCCCCTACTATTTCCTCCTGTGTTTCCATCTTGTTCTGTTTTTCCCTTTTCCGATCCTTTCAACGATCTTTGTATTGCAGCAATTGACCAGCTTATGAAGGAGTATTTTGATCTCTTTGAGTTTGACCTATCGTATGGGGCTAAAATTGCCATACATCATCTGATTCTAACCTGGGATGCTCGTCCAATCAATGTTCCTGTTCGTCATCGGTCACCCAAAGAGATCAAAATTTTACGTGCAAACATCAAGGAGATGTTGGAAAAGGGTGTTATTTGGAAGTCATAGAGTCCTTAGGCATATGAACGTCATCTTATGATGAAGCCTGATGGGAGTATTCATTTCTACATCGACTACAGTCCGTTAAATAAAGTGACAATCCTAGATGTGTACCCTCTTCCTCACACTACTCATCTCTTGGATCATCTGGGGCGAAGTCGTTGGTTCACCAAGCTAGATCTTGCTTTTGGGTACTGGCAAGTACCGATAGCTCAAGCAACTTTCCAGCGGATGATATACAAGGTTCTTTGCGATATGCCAGAGGTGATTGCTGACTTTATTAATGATGTCTTGATCCACTCATAGGGGTCGTGGAAAGAGCATGTTTATGATGTTTGTAAAGTGTTAGATCGGTTACAAGACGTTGGTTTAAAGCTGAAGCGGTCAAAGTGCATATTTGGGTCCAAGGACACAACTTATTTTGGATACTGTATTTCTCGTGAGGGTTTGCAAATTGATCCTGACAAACTTGTGGTTGTTCTAAAGTTCCTTCCTTCAAAATGTGTGAATGATGTGCAACGTTTCCTAGGCAAGGTGTAGTACCTTGGTTGCTTTGTGGATCATCTTTTTGATCGCATTGCACCGTTGAGAGCGTTGCTGAAGTCATCAACGTCATCTTTCATTGGGTCTTCGGATTGTGTGGTCAGTGCCATCCCATTGCATATATAAGTCATACATTACAACCAATGGAGGTGAAATACTTCACGACAAAGAAGGAGTGTTTAGCAGTAGTCTGGGGTTTTGAGAAACTTCATGCATATCTACATGGTTCTCAAACGTTACTTGAAGGTGATCATGCTGCCGTTACTTCATTATTGAAGCGAAAGAACCTAGTTGGCCGTACTGTTTGGTGGGCTTTGAAGCTTCAGATATATGATTTTGATGTTGTTCATCGCCCAGGGAGTTCTATAACTGATTCTAATGCCCTTTCTCGAGCTCCTCTTCCTTCTCCACTATTTTCTCATGTTTTTGATGAGCTTGTTGTTCCGCCATCTGTGGATTTTCTAGACGGAGATTTTGTGCCATTGGCGGTTGTTGTACTTGACATTCAGTGTCTACAAGGTGCAAAAGAAGATCTATCTTCTCTTGATGAGGTTCGCGAGGCTCAAAAGATTGAGCCATGGATTTGAAGACTTCGAAATGAGTTTGAGAATCCTGCATCACTTGCTAATGACTTGCCATTCTGGCATTTACATTCTCAATATCGCCTTGAAGACGGCCTTCTTTATTTTGTGGGGACGGATCCTGATGATCCTTTATGGCTAGTGGTGCCTTCCATTTTTATTCCACGGTTTCTCTATGCTGTGAAACACAAAATCCCTAGGCCCCAAAGTGGAGCCGGAAGGGTGCCACGTGGTAGTGGCTAAAGCAAAAGCCAAACAAGTGTAACACGTTTGGGCCAAAAGCTCCGACTTGAAAGATCGAGAGCGGGAGTGGAACTCCTAACGAAGTGCTCGAGGAATGAGCACAAAGCGAGCAATAAGCGAGGCTCCAAAAAGGGACCCAAAAGGACCAACACATGACACGTGGAAGAGTCCGAGATGGAGTCCGAGGTGGAGTCCGAGATGGACCCGAGGTGGAGTCCGAGGTGGAGTCCGAGATGGACCCGAGATGGAGTCCGAGATGGAGTCCGAGATGGACCCGAGATGGACCCGAGTTGGAGTCCGAGATGGAGTCCGAGATGGACCCGAGATGGAGTCCGAGATGGAGTCCGAGGTGGAGTCCGAGATGGACCCGAGGTGGAGTCCGAGATGGACCCGAGATGGAGTCCGAGATGGACCCGAGGTGGAGTCCGAGATGGACCCGAGATGGAGTCCGAGATGGACCCGAGGTGGAGTCCGAGATGGACCCGAGATGGAGTCCGAGATGGACCCGAGATGGAGTCCGAGATGGAGTCCGAGATAGACCCGAGATGGAGTCCGAAGTCGAGACCGAGACCGGGACCGAGACCGGGACCGAGACCGAGACCGAGATCAGGACCGAGACCGAGACCAAGGCCAAGGCCGAGACCGAGCCAGAGCCCGAGTCCGAGTCTGAGTCCGAATCCGAGTCCGAGTCCGAGTCTGAGAGGGTGAAAGCCCAAAGCGTTCGTCTCCCAGACCCTGGGGGGTTTGGTGAGCTCCAAAAGTATAGTAGGGGGAGGACTGTTGTGGAGCCAGTTTGGCTAGGAAAGGCCAGTTTGGCCCAGGAAGGCCGGACCCAGTGTTGGGTGACGAGCTGCCCACTGGTAAGTCCAAGACTAGAGTGAACATGGACCGACAAGTGGGGTAGCTTGGTGAAGTGTTCAAGAGCCGGCTCTAGTTCCCCCGGGAGATCGACTAGCCGATGCTCCCAGTCCAAGTGTGGGTGGCACTACCTACTTGGATACCTGTCGTGGCTCAACGGAGCCTCGCTCTAAGCCCATGGCTAGAGCACCTAAAGGCGAAAGGCGGGGAGAGTACCCCCGAGGCTCACGTAAGGCCATGGTGTTCCGAAATGTTGTCCCGAAGGCCCAGACTGTGGAAAGGCAGAGGAGCAGTCCTCTGGTGTAGTGACTAAGGATACAGTCGTGTGGTGAGGAAGTCCCAGAGGACCGTGGGACTTAGTGGTCGGGCCTGTGAGCCTTGATCCAGTGGCAGCGTTGGCAAACACGGCCATGGCCAGAAAGGGACTTGGCGAAGACCGGAAAAGGGATATTGGGGAAGGCTATTCCCCATGTCTGTGGGCATCTTAAGGATGCTAAGGAGGGGATCTGGAATGATCACTCATGGACGAATGGCCCAGTCCTTGAGAGAGGGGACTGTGATGCAGGTGGTGTTAGACCACCAGTGTGACCAAGGTAAAGGGGCATGGCCTTAGCGTAACGGGCGGATATGTCGGTGGTACCTTGGGGTGTCGGTCATGGGATCGGACACGTGGAACACTTGGATCAAGTGCAAAGGTTGAGTGGCGGGGATGCCATTCTTGGGGCTAACCAGCCCAAGTCTGAAATAGGACTTACGGAGGTTGTGAGTGAGACTCCTCCGAGTGGTTGGAGGTGTGGTTAAGTGACTAAAGTAGAATGGAAAATTTAGTCGCTTACACATGCCTACCATGATTCTCCTATTCTAGCCAGGCATATGAGATATCGTCATGTGACCGAGAAGCTGCACAAGTCTTTCTATTGGCCGAAGATGTGATGTGATGTTATCCGGTATGTGCGTAACTATGTTTGGTGCTAAGCTCATAATACTCCCCCTTATGCTGTAGAAGGATGGTTAGAGTCAATTGCAATTTCCCGTTCATTTGAGTTAATGGCTTTTGATTTTATGGGACCTTTTCCATGATCGACTACTGGCAATGAATATGTTATTATTGCTTCTGACTATTTGACTCATTGTGTGGAAATTGGTGCTCTTGCTATTGCCTCTGCAACTGTTGTGGATACTTCCTTCTCAATCGAGTGGTGTTTTAGCATTCTTGTCTAGAGTAGATCTTTCGGATAATGGTCCCGCATTTATGGCTGAGGCATTTTATGTTTTGACATCTCGATTGGGGATATGCCACACTTTCACAAGTGTTTATCATCCACAATCAAACAGTTTGGTGGAATGGCTCGTTTAGACATTCAAAGGAATGATCACGAAGTACGTGAACTTTCAGCATTCGAATTGGGATGGTTATTGGTCATTTTTTCAGTATGCATATGTCACAGGGGTGTAAAGTTTTGTTATGCTTCACCATATAAATTTCTATATGGTCATAATCCAATATTACCAATGGAGCTGGGTTTACCTTCACAATTGCCACGAGTTGCCGATGCTAAGTCATGGGATTAGTATTTGACGAGCATTTTTCCACTTGTCCAAGCAGAGTCTGCCGAACACTTAGGCCACGTACAAGTGAGACAACAATGGCACTACAACTCTTATCATCGTCCACCTACGGAGTACAAAGTGGATGACTTAGTGTTAGTCCGTTTTCCCCATCTTATAGTATGTGGTTTATCTAAGAGGTTTCTTGGTCAGTGGAAAGGACCATATCAAGTGTTGTGGCAAGTTGGACTGCAAGTTTATGAGGTTTGATATGACGTCCAACAAGTCGATCCTCCAAAAATTATACATGTGCAACAGTTGAAATGCTTTATACAAAGGGATTAGGAACAATTGGTACCACCTACAAATCTGCCAATGCTTCCTCCTGAAGTTCCTTCAGATCCCAGCCTATCTAAAAGAGAACCTTGATGGTCTTCTATTATTCCGAGAGGAGGGGATGATGTGAGGTCCAAATGTACAATTATAATGCCATATACTAATATTAGCATAGTGGGGTTTTAGTAGCCGTCGGATTGGTTTCAATCTGGATTACTCGCTCCTGTATATAAGCTAGGGTTTTTGGGCTAATTGATATGCATATTTTCTATATTTCCTTTCCATATTCTATGCACTCACAACTATATTTTTTATTTTTTATAATATATTTGTAGATTGTAAGTGAATGATATTTCAAATTTTATGAAAATTACTTATTTTGTAGTTTAGAATGAATGTATATATTACACATTTTACATAGTTTGGAAAATGTAATTTAATTACACAATTATTTTTTGTAATCCAAAATTTTAAAAAAGGGATGGTAAATTTATGGTTGCATTAAATTCAATCATTTTATTTTTTCTTACAAGTAAAGCTGATCCTTTTAATAAAATATTGGTAAACGAGGGGTTTACCAGTTGAGTTTCAAGTTAGCACTGATCATCTCTCACCAAGTCAAGTCGGTAGAGAAACGGGACAAGCACGAGACAGGCCACCACAACAGGGATGGGACCAAACAGCCACAGCAGCAGCGGGAACGCAAAGTAGTACCCCCTGGTCCCGACCGTGTAAAAGTTTGATCCCCGCGCAAGCACTGCGGCAACGTAGTCAGGAGTGATCTTGGAGTCGCCTGTCACAGGAGTGTTGATGAGGAAACCGACATGATTCGTGAAGCGGACGGACTGCATGTAGCAAATGAAGGAGAAGAGGAAGCACGCAAGCAGCGCGACGAACTTGGTGGCGATGGTGATGTCGTCGTGAGCTCCCAGGACGGTGACGGTGCTTGAGAATCCATGGAGTGGCCGCTTGACGCTGTAGCTGCTGCTGAGGAATGCGGCGAGGCCGGAGCTGAGGAGGATGGCGGTGGAGGCCATGAGGGTCGAGGCCATGATGGAGTTCCGGAGAGTTTGGACAGCCAGGATGTTCTTCTTGTCATTGTCCTGCACACACACACACACGTTTCACGAATCTTTGTGATCTTATACCAAGCACGGGTTTTCTTTTTCCCGAAAGTCAAAAGCGGAAAACAAGGTGGAACTACTGCTAGAGAAAAGTTTCACGAGGATTGCTCCCTACTACAAAGCAATATACCATTTTGATACTTCCATCCCATTGACCAAAGTCTTTTGGGCAGGACGAGTCCAAATACCTCACACCACACACCGCAGAAATGCCGTGGAAATGCCAAGCACAACTGGGAAATGAAATGATTCAATCCAGGATCCAAGCACGAAGCCTTGCATTGGGAAAAGAGATCTCATTTCCTTCCCAAAGCACATCCAGAAACGAAAACACGCACGCCACCGACACACAAGAAAACACAAGAGAGAATGCGAAAAAGAGCGTGAGAGAGAGCGGGAGAAGAAAGGAGGGGATTGGAATTTTAGGGCAAGAGGAGGAGTACCTTCATGATGCTGTGAACCCAGGCCGTTCTTCCCAAGTGATTGACCCCCACCACCGTTTTGAGTGGATGCCTCCTCACCTTGTAGAAATAAAAGACATGGTAAGCCAACAACAGAAGCAATCCCGCAGGAACCAGCAGCACATCAAAATATAACTGCTTCCACGCCGCCGCCATTCGATAAATATCCCGAGCGCAAGATAGAAATGAGTGTTCTTCTAAACCTACAATAACGAAATGGAAAGTAATGTTTATTCAAATATAAAACAGAATAAAATCAGAGCCGACATTATCGACGCGTAGCACGATGGTTTTGCTGGCCTTGAGAAAATGCCGTGTCAACCAACAACATATGCGCATTGCGCATCGAATCTGGCTTCGTTTAATAAAGTCTTGTTTTGTTTCATGGGGGTCCGACCACAGTCCACTGAGTGGCTCACTTTTGGAGGCTTTGAAAACGTTTGATCAGCACACCCTTGTGTGTTGGTGTTCGAAGGGAAAAGTGGCTTGTCCTTTCGCCAAAATCCAACTTTCCAAGCGCAGATCATGATCAAAGACTGGGATCTCTGGCTGGTTCCACTTGGATTCGCGACCCTCGCGACGTATCATGGCTACTTTCTGTATATCTACAAGACGCAGCCGCTCCTCACGGTGATCGGGGCCAACCATGTCGGGCGACGAGCGTGGGTTCGATCGATGATGGCGGTAAGCAGCTCTCGAGTTCTAGCAAGTTTCTTTTAAGAGCACATCACATTTACCACTTCATGGAAACGCCAGGATGTTGAGAAGAAGGGTGTCCTTGCGGTGCAAAGCTTGCGAAACTCGATGATGGGATCCATCCTGTGGGCGTCGGTGGCGATACTCCTGTGCTCCGGATCGGTGGCCTTCATCAACACGTCGTATAGCTACGGCATCAGAAAGCCCGTGTTCGAGAGCTTCGGTGGCGGCAAGACCAAGCAGGATGAGACGACCATGTCGATCAAGGTGACTTTGCTTCTGGGATGTTTCATGGTTTGCTTCTTTTGCTGCATGCAATCGGTGAGGTTCTTAAACCAGGTCAGTTTCTTCATCAACACGCCCGGGGAAGAGATCCTCTCCAAGTTTGTCACGCCGGAATACGTCGCAAGTCTGTTCGAAAAGGCTTGCAACTTCCAGGCAGCCGGATCGAGGAGCTTTTATTTTACGATCCCACTAATTTTGTGGATCCTGGGCCCGGTTCCTCTCGCCATGGCGTGCTTCGTCATTATCCCTTTCCTGTACCACCTTGACATGAAGTAAAAGAAATCTATTACCCGCACTTAGCAAATGTTCCTCTGAGTCAAACAGAGAATGTGTTTGCCAAAACGTAATCTTTCTTGGCCAGTCTAGAGCTGAACCGGGGCCAAACACCCACAACAAAAGTGGGAAGGCAAAGTAGTATCCCCTGTTTTTTGTGGTGAAGAAGTTCGATCTTGGGGCAAGGACGCCAGCAACGTAGTCCGGAGTGATCCTCGATCGAACGTTGATGAGAAAGCCGACATGGTTGACGAACCGGACTGTGGAGAATCGATAATGGCCTCTACTCGGATGGCCTCCACAGCCATCCTCCTCGCCGCCTTCCTCGCCCGAGGTTGCAATCCTGGGAGCTCGCGATGACATCACAATCACCACCAAGTTCATTGTCCTCCTTTCATGCTTCTTGTTATCGTTCCTTTGCTACGTGCAAACCATCCGCTTTTTATTGTCCTGAATTCTACCATCCAAAAGGCTAAAGAAATGGTGAAAGAACTTAGTCTACCTTCACGATGCTGTGCACCTATTTCATACCCACCACTGTTCTAAGTGGATGTACCATGCGCTTTTTCTCCACAATCCCGCAGGAACCAGCATCTCTTTCAAAACAAAACGAGGAAATGCTCGTAAAAGGAATCTCCTCTGACTGTCTTGTCCTGGACTCATAGCTCTGTGACTTGGATGACTTTGGAACATGGTGGCGTGTTGAGTCACTCCTGGACGTCCACGCTTAACGCTTTCGAACCTTTGTCGGACGTGCAAGATGGTTGATGGAGTTTCTACGTCAGTCGTTCCAGTAGTTTCGATTTCCTAGCTTGCAAGCTCGAGGAGCAGCCTTCTTTTCACCTGGTTGCTGCGTTTGTTCACCAAGAACATGTTTGACAACAGGATGTAGGACGCCGAGTGCTCGGGCTCGATTTGCATCACTTGCTTGCTCGCCTTGGCAGCTCTCTCGTCGTCTCTGTAGCTCCTACACCCGCTCAGCAAGGATCTCCAGTCCAGTCCACCGGGAACGAACGGCATTGTCCAGATGAGTTCCTCGGCATCCTCGAGCTTCCCGGATCTTGACAGCAAGTCCACCATTCCACTGTAGTGGTGCCGCACAGGCTTTATCCCAAAGTCCATGCTCATTGACACGAAGATCGACCACCCGGATTGAACGTCACCGGCATGGCTACACGCGAGGAAAACGCAGATAAACGAGACCTCGTCTGGTCTCGCGAGGAGCTTCATGGTTCCAAACAAGAGCATTGCCAAGCTCGACTCTCCCTTGTGGGAGTAAGCCGCGAGCATTGAGTTCCACAGCACGACGTTTCTCTCGGGCATTGCATCAAACACCTTCTTTCCTTGTTCGTGGTGTCCATTGTCGACATAGGCCGTGAGCATTGTACTCCACGCGACCAAGTCTCTCTCTTGCATCCAGCCGTAGAAGAGATGCTTGGCTTCGTCAAGGTAGCCTTGGAGCGAGTATGCCGAGATCATGACTGTCCAGGAGATTAAGTCCCGATCGACCATTGTGTCAAAGAGGTGTTTCGTAAACTCGAGATGTCCTTTCTGAGCATACCCGTAAAGCATCACGTTGTAGGAGCTCATGTTCCGCTCCGGCATCTGATCCAGCAACAGTTTGGCCTCCTCCATATGTCCTCTTTGCGAATACGCTGCTAGAATTGCGTTCCACGACACCAAGTTTTTCTCCATCATGTTGTCAAACACCTCCTTTGCCTGATCGAGAAGCCCGTTTTGGGCATATGCAGTAAGCATGGCAGTCCACGAAACGAGATCACACTCCGGCATCGAATCAAACACGGACTTTGCTTGATCGATCTGAAGACTGTGTGAGTAGGCACACAGCATTGCATTAAGCGATGCTAAATCGTGCTCCCGCATCTCGTTGAAGACTTTCTCTGCAAATTCCAAATACCCGTCTTGGGCATATGTTGAGAGCATCGCAGTCCATGAGACAAGATCTCTTTCAGGCATCGCATCAAAGATACTCTTAGATTCCTCGAGAAAACCATTCCAGGTGTAGCACGTAAGCATAGCAGTCCACGAAACGAGATCTCGTTCCGGCATAAGATCAAACACGCGCTTGGTTTTCTCGAGAAGCCCTCTCTGGGCATATGCCGAGAGAAGCGTGTTCCACGAGACGAGATCCTTGTCTCGCATCCTCTCGAAGAGATCCGAGGCGTCGCGGAGGAGCCCATTTCGGGTGTAAGCTGCGAGCATGAGATTCCAGGAGAACTTGTCCTTGGGATAGGTGCGGTCGAAGACGAGGCGCGCATTCTCGGCACTCCCGTGCTTCCCATACATTTGGATGAGAATGTTGGACAGGAAGACATCGGTGGCGAGACGAGATTCAAGGCGAGAGTGAGCCTCTTGGAGCATTGGCAAGTTCTTGGCGGATTTGAGAAGCTCGATGCCCATTCTAGAGGAAGCATTCGAATGTATCAAGGGGGACTTCAGCTCAAAGTCAATGGTAGTCAATGGAGTCTAACATGGTCTTTGCATTGTGTTGACTTTCGTTAACTTTTTGCTCTTAGAGCATGTCCACTGCGAGCAAATAGGCTGCCGCGTGATGGGCGTTAATTTCCAGCGCTTTCTCTGCCGCTCTAGATCCGGTCTCTATCTCCTTGTGGCTCTTGCACGCGCCAAGCAGGCAGCGCCAATCCATCATGCGCGGCGCAAAGGGCATGTCCGCGACGACGCTGCGCGCGTCCCTCACTCGGCCAGATCGGCTGAGCAGATCCACCACGCACGAGTAGTGCTGCATCGTTTGCTGGATTCCAAAATCAAAGCCCATCGACACGAAGATCGATCTGGCGAGTTCCATGTCACCGCAGCGGCTGCAAGCTACCAGGGCCGACACGAAGCACACGGAGTCGGGAAGATCGATCGTCTTGAGCTCGTGGAAAAATTCCAGCGCCTTGCGAGAAAGTTGACCGCTTTGAGCAAATGCTGCGAGAAAAGCATTCCAGGTAAACAAGTTTCTCTCTGGCATCATTTCAAAGAGGCCCCTTGCTTGATTCAGACGGGAATTCTTTGCATACCCGGACAAGAGGCTGTTCCAAGAAATCAAGGTTCGAAAAGGCATTCTATGGAAGATTTGTTCCGCTAAGGCCATTTGACCATTCTCGGCATACATTCCCAACACAGATGTCCACGAGACATAGTCCCGCTCGGGCATCTGAGCGAAGATTCTTTCTGCAAACTCGATGTCTCCGATTCCCGTGTAAGAGCCCAGTATGGAGTTCCACGCAATGAGGTCCCGAACTGGCATTGAATCGAACGTGTGCTTTGCTTCTTCAATATGCCCGTTCTGGGAATATGCTGCAAGAAGAGAGTTCCATGAGATGACGTTTTTCTCTGGCATATTTTCGAACACTTTCTTAGCATTTTCAAGTTTACTGGCAGAGGCATAAGCTGCTACCATAGCTGTCCACGAGACAAGATTTTGCTGCGGCATGTCGATAAAGATCTTCTCCGCTTTCGCAAGATGCCCTGCTCCGGCATATGCTGTTAGCATGGCTGTCCAAGACACTAGATCCAACTCCGGCATTTTATCAAAAATATATTCAGCATCTTCTAAACAAGAAAAATGTGAAAAACTTGCTAGCATAGCTGTACAAGACACAAGATCGTGCTCCGGCATAGAATGAAACAAATGTTTTGATTCTTCTAAATACCCATTCCTGGTATATGTATTGAGCATGGCAGTCCATGTGATCAAGTTTCTTTCTGGGACTTGATCAAATAATTTCTTCGTGGATTCTACGGAACCACGCTGTGCATAGAGATTAAGCATTAGATTCCATGACACCACGTTGTGTTCTGGCATCTCGCAGAAAAAGAGCGTCGAGCTTTCAAGTTGCCTGCTTTGGGCATATGCAGAAAGCATGGAGTTCCACGAAACCGTGTCCCTGGCGGGGATTTGATCAAATGCAAGCTCGGCGTCGTGCAGATTCCCGTTCCGGGCATATACCGAGAGAAGAATCGCCCACGAAAAAGAGTCCTTGTTCTGGATTCCATCGAAAGTCTGCCGTGCCAGCTCTGGGCTTCCACACCGCCCGTACACGTCCACCACCTTGTTCCACACAAACACATCGTCTGGATCCACCAGAGCCGTGATCCTCGAATGCACATCACGCAGTGCTGGAACCGTCTTGCAAGATCTAATCAGCTGCAAACACTCCGCCCTTCTCGTGTCCATCCATCCATAATTTTAAAAGAAAAGGTAGTACTAAGTACTATGCTAACTTATTGATATAGAGAAGGTGGTAGGGCAAACATATAGGAGCTATGCTACTACACTACTACTACTACTACTAACGTTGTTAGTGGCAGCCCACTCATACTCACTGTCACTGGAAGGAATGGAACTGACTGTGGGTACTGAGGGTGTGGACCTCTTGGGTCAGACAAGGTCTCATAATTTAGGGCTGTCTCCCCTTAGACGTCATGATGATGGTGATCGTGGACTATTCTCTGACTGACCCCACGGTCCATCCAGGAAGTAAATCAGCTTAAATGCCAGGGGAAAGTAATAGTTTGACTGGTCAAACAACCCCATCAAGACAAGTAAGTACCTGGGAGGAATCTATTTGACTGGATATCTAGTGGGGAATCTTAGCTTTGAGATGACCGAGAATGGAAGTAGAACAAGTGAAGTGTTGCGTTCTAAAGATCTAAAACAGCACACAAGCGGGCATTTGCATATAAGCGGGCATTTGCTGTCCAGAAGGATACCGTCTGTTTGTTCTTGCGCTTTAGCTCCAGCTTTGTTTTCTTGCTTGCTTGCTTGCTAGCTTTGCCTTGTTGTTTCGTCCCATTCGCGAGTTTTTATGGATTTTTGTGTGCTTGGGAGAATGTAGACAAGGACAGGGGTGGGCAGGTTGCGCCTTTTGTCTTTCTCGATCACGTATTAACTTCAACTGAGAAGGATCACTTGAGATTGTGATCAAACCCCGGAGTGCGTGCAAACAATGGGCTCGAGCCAAGATTTAAGATCATATTGTTTGGAAGAGGCTTATTTTGTCGAGCTCTTGTCTCTCCTCTTTTTTTTTCGTGTTTGTATCTTCTTTTGTAAGTTGGCTACGGAGAGAAATTCCCTAGGCATAAACAGACAAGGCCTAAAGCTGAAGAACAGTGTCCCTTTCGTTTTGCACCACTCGACTGGCTGGCTCGCAACAAAAATGCCCCAAATTCCTACAGTGCGATCGCAATCTAAAGGGGTGGCGGGATTAGAGAAAAAAAATACCACGAAAGAGAGCTTTGATCTGGACATGTTTGGATTTCATATGGTTTAGCCAACGCTACATACAAAACCAGACAAGCAACAAGGAGACAAACGAGAGAATCTCGCTTCGAAGCGGGGTATATAGATAGCTCTCTGTGCATGGCAATGTTTCCAAGATTTTGCCAGTGGCTGACTATAACAGGGCCCTTAGCCTTCGTTGACTAGAGAGGTTTTTTTTCTCCTTTGTTTTCTTTTGGACCTTGATCGATTCAGCCAAAGAACCATTTTAAAATACTTGTTCACTCCGATTGATTCCTCCCAAGTCTCTTGAGTTGAAGCTCTTGTTGTGTTGTCACCACTACTTGTCCGAGTTATCTAAACCCGAACTCTCTCTTTTTTGGTACAAGTGCTTCTCTGCCACCGCACCGCCACACAGCGCCACCACCACCACCATCTTAAAGCGATTCTCGAGGCAAGATCTAGCCCATGCATTAGTATACTTGTGAATTAGAAGATTAAATATGTTATACAAGTCTCAACTAGTATCATACCTTGCTTGTACGGGTGGCGCATTGAAAAGTGTTATATTCCCTTTCTGTAGCAAGGGAATCAATGTAAAACAAGGAAAAGTTTATTCCTCTCAAAGGCGAGGGAGGAGATTTGGCATCGGGATCATCCAGCGTCGCCAGAGTGCATATAAAAGAACTTACTTGGGTGGCACCAGGAGAATAAAATGAAGATTGGGCTGATCATCGTTCGTTGAACGAGTGCCAAATCTCCCCCCGTGATCATGGCTGCTCAAAGTCTCGATCAAACGTACGGCACTAGAGGGATTTCCTAACAAAAAAATTGGGGATCCCATGATCATCACCCCATCTGACTTTCAACGTTGGGCGATTTGATCTTTTTCCTTATTTTATGAAAGCATTGTGGGCATTTTATAATCATCCGCGGTTGCGTGTGTATGAGTGCGAGCAATTCTTTTTTTGCTTCTGTATGTGCGTTTGTTGAATGATGCAACGTTGACATTGCACGGCCATCATTACATTGCTGATTACACCCTGGATTATTATATTGATATTAATTACTATTATTATGGCTCAAAAAAACTTCAACATTTTTTCACGTCGATCAGAAAATTCGGAACGAGACAATTGATGCGAGATTGGAGAAGAGACAAACGAGACCATGACACCACCAAGAGAGAAGAAAAAAAAAACACACAAAGGACAAAGCCAAGGACAAATTTTTCTCGCTCGCTTGAATTCTTCTGGAATCCAATGTAATAAGACGGGCCTGTCGTGTGCTTCGGCTATGAGAATACCAACAAAAAACAATGCGTTGTGTGTGTGCGTGTTTGTGTGTCGCTTCCTCCATTTTGTTTTGCCAACTTTGTAGATCAAAATGGAGGATTTGTTTCGGCCACCATCTACATTCTATTCGATTCTCCTGATCGAAATTCTCCCCTCTCTTTTTCTAAGCCAAAAAACTGATTTTCTACCAGGCCAGGGAGAAGAACTCCGTTTGCTTTGTTTGCAAGCCAAAGCGAGGGTGGCCAAAACGGATGCGACAAAGACAAGGGTAGGATTCGTACCGATTTTTGGGCCAAGACGTGGTCACAAATTTATGTGCCGATTTTCGTACAGGTGGGCAGTGGACAAGTAGAAGAAGACCCCTTCACTGCTGTTTCGCTGGATCTTAACCAGGGCGGAGCCAAATGGAGCGTCCAAGCTATGGATTCTTCTCCCGTGGCTCTTCATAATCATCACTGTGTCTTCTTCTTCTTTCTCGCTTGCTTGTCTTGTTCTTGTTATGAAAGCTTGCTTGTTATGAGAGCTTGATCTCCTCGATCGTCCGAGGTATATCACCTGAGAGAACGACCGTCTCGATAGCCGCGGAGTCGATGCTCCATTGCCAAAATCTTCTAGTCCCCGATCACCAAGCTCCAGCTATGGCGTCCCCGGCTGCTCAAGATCCCTCCTGGTGGCAAACTCCCGGCCTGGAGGCTGCGAATTTGCCATGCCGGGGCTACAACTTTCGAGGTGGTGCTGGCTTCCACTCCTCGACGAGGGATCACGATTACCAGCAGCAGCAGCAGCAGCAGTACCATGGCTTGCAGCAGCTCAACAAGCATCACCACGGGCAGGACGTGGAGTGCCTCTCCAATTTGACAACCTCGGCTTCCACTGCT